CCTCAGACGTTCTATCTTAATATGTTTTATGATATATGGTTCCTGGTATATTCTATAAAGTTCGAAATTGTATCGTCTTCTCCACACTCAATTGTCATTCACTGCTCCATAGATTCGCCTTAGTACTTTTCTTTTGAAACATCTTAACATGTTTTCATTACTTTTTGTTTGTTTTCATTACTCTTTGTTAGAATCTAGGTCTCTGACCCATATGTTATGTCTGGACGTATTATTGTTTTGTACGGTTAAATTTTTGTACTTGTCAATATAAGTGTGGATTTAAGGAGGAGATTGAGCCCAAAGTAGCAAGAGAGGAGAATGAGCCCAAGGTGATTTGTTTCTGGCTAGTTTTTTAACAGCATCTTTAACTGCAAGAATCGTTGGTGGTTCCTCTTCACTCCCGTCTGTTCCCCTTACCTCATCTCTTTCGTCTTCCAGGTTTTCTTGTTCTTCCTCTATATTAAGTGCCTGGTTTATGGCGGCTCTTGCTTTCTCTTATAATGTGCAATTCTTTATCCTCATCCTTCGACCAATGCATATCAACTTGAAGCAGAGTGTGATAATCAGATAATATACATATGCTAATAATTTTTTTTTAAATATATGTCATTCATTTTAAAATCGTGACGGTTATTCTGCGATGCATAAATATTTGTAAAATATAGAAAGCTCTCAATTACTTGTTTATCAAAAAAGAGTAAAAAAACTTCAAGGTGTGACCTGCCTTCACGGTTGGCTTTTATATTGTCTAAATATCAAGCAGACTGATGTTGAATTACCACTGAGCACGAAGGAGTATCTGTTTTACCCAACTTGGACAAATTTGGATTTACTATTTATGTCTGGTTTTTTTTTGGACGTTTTGATCAGTGGTTCATAGGAATATCCGAATATCATAGTCAGAATCGTCAGAATTCCCATTCACTTGTATTTTATATGTACCTGCAATATCCAAATTTATTCCTTCTTCACAAATAATATTATCATCAATGTCTTCTACATCGAAAACTGCATCTGATTTCGGCGGCATATAAACTACATCAAGTGAGTCAGCAATTTCACCATCTGAGCCTTCTTCGCATATTTCGAGAATATACTAAAATATACAAAAAAATGCACTACATACACGCATTCACATGAGAATAGTTTAGCTTTATAAAACAAACAAACACAAAGAAACTTTCAAATCAAGTTAAAGAAAAACAAATATAACGTTTACAGCACCCAGCAATTCTATAAATAGAGAATGAAGTGTAATGACGAGATCGTAAATATGTTCAAATTTCAGATTGTTTAGTCTAACGAAAAAATTAGTATTTTGTAAAGTTTTCTGTTTTTTTTTTAAGTACTGTATTAGGCACTCTATAATAACAATAAAATTTTACTTTATTTTGTTAGACAACTATAAGGTACCAGTAAAAACATGCATGATAATTTAATAATTATATCGGTCTTAGATTTAATTTTTACGTAATTACTTATGTGTTTAAATAAATAGTTCAAATATTATTTTGGTACGCCTCTGCAAGTGGAATATGGTTTCGTCGCTTTAAGTGCAATGTTGCCAATTAATCAAATATTAATTAAAAATTGTTTTAGTATAGAGAACTTGTCTGTAATGCGATTGACACGAGTTAAGTAAAATTATTAATTCCGACTGGGTTAAACTTTCTGCAGTGCGGGTAACGCGAACAGGAGCTTCGAGCTCACACAATCATCGATTCAAACGGATCTCAACTCGTCCCTTTGAATAACGCTGGGCCCATAACGGTTTCTTAAAATTAAGAAATCGCCCCCTTGACCGGGAATTAGACCCGGTGGAATGAGAAGGAATCGGCAGAAGGTTACTCAAATTTTAGCGATCGTTTATTATGAATTCTAAATTCCACATTGTTTTTCAAAATAAGGGAAAACAAAAATGTCACAAATTGTATTAAAACATTAAAATATCTGAATATAGAGCACCTATATATTTAAAAAGATAAAGTTTAGACGTTATTATTGTTTAAAAGATAAATACATAATTATCCTATCTATTTTTATACTTATCGGTTAATTTAATGCGACAATATTTCAATAACAACTATAGGTAGTTACTCAGAACAGTGACAGTGTACAGGTGACTCACATGTTCGAATAAACTTTGGATTGATTGCACAAATAATAAAGTGTTTATTGGTTGAATGTGGTTTTATAGTGGTTATGAATTACATACTTGGTAATTACTGTTATTAAAATATCTATTTCCACAGTAGCAAGTTAATGATTTGTTTATTTTAAATTTTTTTATATTAGATGTATATAGTGTTAATACAAGCCTTTCAGGCCCATAGTTTGACAACTGCTCTACATGCTTTCCAATTGGGTCACACCTTTCACTTTAAGGTCCTTTTCTGCTTCATCCTACCATCTTTTTCTTGGTCGACCCACTCTTCTTTTATCACCTATCTCAATATTGATGCTTTTACAACTTCTGATATCGTATGCTCTTTAAAAATACTCATGATCTCGGCATCGGTTCATGAATATTTTTCTTTCCCATATATTTTTTCTTGTGTTTGGTTTAGCATCCATGTTTCGCTTGCATAGAGGACTGTCGGTCTAAAAACTGATTTGTATATACCTACAACCTACAGTCATCTATTCCGCTCTCACTTATGTTAGTTTCATGGCAAATGAAATTCTCAACTTGTTCTATTTCTAGGGGTTGGATCTTCATGATTACCTGTTCTCTTAATCTTGTTTGAGGTACTGTAATTTTCATGTACTTAGATTTCTTTTCATTCATCAAGGGATCTCCTTGCCTTAAACCTTGTTTGGTTTCAAGTTTTCCGTTGTATTTGATCTTTATGCTTATCTTACTGTTTGTCATTTTCTACTAGGTTGATTAATTTGCTGGATATTTTCAAATATTTTAATAAATTCAGTAATTTTTGTCGATTTACTGAATCACAAGCTTTTTTGGAATCAATAAAGACAGCATAGATATGAATATTAAATTCATATCACAGTCTCTCGGTTTGCTTTAATTTAAAAATAATGATCTGTGACTAATCTGCTTTTTCGAAAACTACATTGATATTGTTTAATTGAATTCCTCTATTGAACATATTCATTGATTTGTTGTGTATACTCTTCTAATTTTGTTTGAAGACTCTTCGCTAATATTTTTATACAATATCCAGCAAGGCTATTGTTATATATGTTTCAATATGTAGGCATTTCTGCTCTCTCCAAACGGTCCAGTGTCTCCAAATGTGCTCCAAATGAGCAATGAGTTTCTTCCTTGGACCAAGTTGTTTTTTAGTAGTGGGTCCACAATGTCTTTTTTTTTTCTACTTAACTAAAATTGATTTAGGACTAATCACTAGTTCGAAATTGAAAGAATTTAAAGATTTTCTGGCAATCAAATGATAATATAAGAATACCTTCGCTTTTCTCTTTCAGCAAGTCATAAAAAGCGCGAGACCGCAACTTGTGTACCCATTTCTGAGTCATGAGTGTAGCCTTTTCTTGGTCTTTGAATATCTTCATTTTTTCTCCAAGTTCTAGGCACCTTGAACATACGTCATCTCTAGGGGTAGCAAAACCTAAATTATAGTTACGATTGAACTAATTTCTGAAATTTCACTCAGTTACATGCAAGTCTTTATCTTCCGTGCCCGATAAGTACATTCTTCATAACTTTTTTATATGATAGTTCAGATGGAAGATATTTCCTACCACGCGGATTGGAGTAATAGTGGGATTCGCTTGCCTTAAGTTTGTTTATAAATTGCATTAAATCTTTCTTTGATAGAAATTTATCACGTTTTTTTAAATCCATCCCTTTTTTAGACATTAGTGCTGCATCAGACTCATAATATTGCTGACGATAAAGTTATCTTGCACAATTTTTGTTTAGTGTTAATGTAATCTTTGGTGGAATCTTCTGATATCCTGAATCGTTACCGTCTTACATTTTAAGGCACAAGTAGGAAATTCTGGTAGATATTTAGAAGCGTATCTGAAACAACATAAACGTATTCAGTAACAACGACTGAAATTAAGACCTAATTTTCTCAACGTACAAGTTTTTTTTTATTATTTGTTCTTGTCCATTCATTTTGCATCGGTGTTCTTTTTCTTGCGTTTTTACCAGTTCCTACAGGAGTCACTTGAACATACATTACGAATAGAAGAAAAATATTACTATAGTATTACTTATTTTAAAAGAAAAAAACTATGAAAACAGTATTAAAAGTTGATAGCTGATAAAAGTAGTAATCAAGCACTAACTTTATATCAGACAAATAGTGTGATTTAATCTAGATGAATCCCTACCACTTACTTTACACGCCTCCTATTGGTTGGTTGGAGAAAGACGGGTTTCACGCAGAACTGTCATAGGAGAAAGACATGTTTGATTCAAAAGCTTTCTTTTAACATTGAATTTATATTGGATAAAGCTAATTTTGAGTCAAACTAGCTCTGAATTCATGTAGAGATCAACAAACAGATTAAAAAAAAAAACTCAATTTCGGCCATGGATTATAGAGAAAGCGAGTTTTGATTCTATACCCTTTACTTATGACTTTCATTAAACTTTTAATAAATACGAATCGAATCTTTTAGTGACAGATATTCTTTTATTTTTTTACTTCTCATATAATGTCTGTCTTTGATAGTTATTTTTGATGCAGTTTTTAATTTAAACCTGCTTAGAGTAAATATATAATGACTAGAAACGAATTGATCGAGAATAGTGAATCGATGTCAAGAATCACTATTCTATGACTACCCGTGACGACGCCATACGTCATCTTGTGACGCTAGGTCCGTGACGCTTGCCTCAACATTTTACTGTAGATAAAAAAGTAAGACAACGCCAGTATAGAAGCTTCGCTTCAAAAAAGTTCACCAAACTGTCATATTAATTTTTTCCACTTTTCCACTTTTATTGTATAGGGTTAGTCGATTTGTGCAGTGATAAAATGCTAATGTTTCAATATACCTTTTAGCCTGTTAAGAAGTCAGCGCCCCTCAGCAAAGATCCAGACGTAGTTGAATCTCAAGAAGAGGAAGAACAAATTCTCAAAGCCATTGAATTGTCACTGAAAGAGAGCGGGGGATCGCCCCGTTCTTCGACGAACCCTACAACCACCCATTCGACTTCTCTGTACCCGTCAATGAACTTAAATGCTCCTACGAGTGCGCCGGTAGCGGCAGCTGCCGCTCCCTCTAATAAGGAGCCCAGGAAGGTTAGAGCTTTGTATGATTTTGAAGCCGCCGAGGATAATGAGCTTACGTTTAATAGTGGAGAAATATGTAAGTACTTTCAATTCACAAGTCGATGTAGATATTTTAATGTTTTTTTCATTTCTTGAAATATTTCATATTTTTTTCAGTATTTGTATTAGATGATAGTCATCCTAATTGGTGGAAGGGAAGCAATCAGAGAGGTGAAGGCCTTTTTCCAGCAAATTTCGTCACAGCAGATCTTTCCGTGGAACCAGAAACATTCTGTAAGTATATCGTTTTATAAGAGTTGTAGCTACAACAGGAATGGTACTTATACAAAAGAGCTAGTAATAGAGGTACGACAAAGGAGGAAAAACCAAAATTTTGTCTTTCTGCTTTTTATGCACTTCTTCTTAGGGTGTCTGTCTGTTCCGAACGTTGGCGATCATTCTGGCTATGATGACTTTGTTGGTTGCAATACTAAATAGCTGTGTTGAGGTCTTTCTATACCATACTCTCAGGTTAGCGAGCCAGGATATTCTTCTTCGTCCTGGGGTCCTTTTTCCTTCAATTTTACCTTGCAAAATGCATTGAAATAGGTCGTATCTGCCTTGATTTACGGTCTGCCTTACGGTTCTTCTCGATGTTGACCAAATCCGCAGTTGTGTTCATCCTCCGCAGTACTTCTTCATTTTTATGCACAAGCCTGTTAAAACAGTACTCCACTTGCAAACTCTCTCTCTCCCTCTCTCGTCGTTTCCCCAGTACTGAGGATTGTGATTTCTTCGAATATTCCTAACAATTTTTCTCCATTGGTCTCTATCTTCAGCTGCTCTGAGAGCTTCGCAGAATGAGGAGTACACGTTTGGCTAACCTAATAAGAAATCTGTAGGATAAAAACTCAGCCAAAGTTTAAGTACAGTTGATACAGAATAAATTCCGATGCACGTCATTAACTACGTCAGAAATCTTAAGTTGACATTGTTGCTAAATTACATAAAAAATTCCTGAATTCATTTCAGAGAAAGTGAAATATATCACATAATTATTGCAGAAGTGGATTATACGTTGTGTGGATTGTGTAGTATAAAGAAGTAAAATAGAATAAAAAAAAACAACACTTTTTTCCTTCACAAACTTCAACACAAAAATCTTTTTTGTTCAGCTTTATTTAAGTTTTAGTTTTCTGATCGATATATTATAATTGTGTATATAATGGTTTTATGTTACTTAATTTTTACAACCGAGCAAAAAGACCTTCGAAATATTTGTATTTTCATAAATATCTTTGACGGTCCTTATTTGCCTGATTTGGTACAATATGACCTTTATCCTCTCATATGACTTTGCTCCAAAAAATCTACGTTTTTGTTTGTATTTTTTATATCAATATTAGTATGATCTCTCTTTTAGTGTACGAGAAAGCCAAAAAGATGGTGCAATTTAAGGAAACGGCTGAGGTAAAAGTTGTAAAAGACGAACCAGAAGATGTAGAAATTAATGAACAAAAAATAGACAGGCTGTTACATCTGTTACATGAAGCAGACCCTACTAATCCTGAAAAGGATACTGAAGAAATGTTAAATTTAGAAAGTAAGTATTGTAGTAGTAGTGCTCAACAGCATTTCATATCCGTGCCTTATTGCCCAAAATCATCATGCTAAATACTAATTATTTTCGGCACCTCATTTGCCTGTACCACCTAATCCTATTCCACAAGAATATTCTATATCGATATCTTCACCTGCATAAATTTCTTCTGTTCCTGCTATTTTATTGTGTAAATAAAATTGGTACCTATTACAATGTAAGTTCAATATAAACATTCGTTTTACTAACGCATATATTTTTACATTAGTAATTATATTGAAGCTATGCTAAGCTATAAGTGCCATAAACAATAGTCTCAGCTATTCAGTTAATTTGAATTTGTCTTATATTTCGTCATAATTTTCAGGAGAAGCAAACGGTATGGGACCTTTAATAGACGCCGAGTTGGAGAAAGTCGATAGAAAACATGCCCAGTTAACACAACTTAGTGCCGATTTAGTTGAAGCTTTAGGTCTCTATCATACTTTGATGAGGGAACCACCCTTCCCGTCAATAAGTAAAATGCCTTATGGATATCCTCCGTCGTCACACATGGTAAGTATTGTTTTTGTGTTTTTATGCATAAATATTCTTATTTTGAGCTATTTTATTCTCTACGCCATCGGTTGTATAAAGTTGTTGGTAGAATGACCTTTAATGGTTTTTGGTAGTGTCGTCTTGGACTGGTTTGACTTTAATTTAACGTTATGTAACTACAAATGCCTATCGGTGTTAGTATCTGTCATTCAATGCAAGATGTCTGTGAAGATCTTGCAAAACAACAATGTATGCTTTTAATAGAATCTTATGTGTATGTATGTGTTTTATGGAATAAATTCGAATATAGTTCTTATAAAATGCCTTTACTTAAAGGAAAATAAAATACAGAAATAAAAGATGAGCTGGATCTAGTTTATGAATCATTTAGTTTGTATGTAGTTGATGATGGACGTTCAAATGTCCTAAATCCGTCACTAATCTAAAAATTCTCACCAAAGTCTATAATATGATCATGGTAGATTATAGAATCGTAATTCGTGAGATACCAAAAGCTCCAAATATGTCAATTCAACTTTTAAGTGGTCTTATATAGATAAGAAGTAGTTAATAGATCATACCGAATTACTTGGACACGAAAAAATTAGATCATTTTTGTCGGCCACAAATGGATACGTTTATCGGTGGTGGCAATCTTGTGGACGTTTTTTTTTGCCAATACTTTACTATTGATGGAACATGGTTCTATTTTTACACGCCACATACGAAGAAAACATGAAGCAGTGAAGCTTTACTGAAGAAAGTTAAAATCACTTGAAAGGTGACGACGACTTTGGAATGCCCATATTATTATCTATATGAATTACTTGAGAAAGAAGACAACAATAACTAGCATGACTGCGCAGCTCAGAAGGCAAAATTACACTAATTGTAATACAAATTGATCGACCGTACCTTATTCGGCAGATTTAGTTCCGTGTAAGCATTTCCTGTCCTCAAACTTAATAAAATTGGACAAAAGATTCAATTTTATAGCATAAGATGAGTCCTAGTCCAAATTCCACACTATTTTTGGAGATTGAGCAAAATCACTTATTGGAAGGAATAAAAATAAATTCAGGCAATGTTATTTAATGACAAAGTTACTGGTGTGACTAGATTTAAAAATGAAAATAATAATATTAATAACGCAAATACATTTTTTCGCAGCCCTTCAATGGTACGCTACCTCCCAACGCCCATATTCCAATGATGCTCCAAGCAAACCAAGGCCCCGACAGAGCACCTTTTATGCATGCCCCAGGCGGAGTTCCTCCAGCCATGCTGCAGATGCATATGCAACACATGCCTCCCATGGCAGGTGGACCTCAGTTACCTCACCAACAGATGCAACAACAGTTGCAAGGACCTCCTTCTCAAATACCGCCACAGATGCAGCAACAGATGATGGATGAACGGAGGATGGAACCTCATATGATGCAATATGGGTAAGGAATTTATATACTTTAATAAGTGGGCCAACTGATATGGGAAGGGTCTCGTACATATATTTAACTACTTCTAATCACTCAAAAGAAGGAAAGGTTAGTCCAAGTCTTTTATCCCAAAGATCTAGAGACCTTTTGGTATATAATAAAAAAAGATTTAACATAAAAGATAGTATGAAATAATCTATTGAATATTACACGTCCAATAAATGATTGGTGACGGATTAGATTTATGACTTTTCTATATTGTTATTAGTTTGAATGTGTATATTTCGTAATGTTTCAGACTTCCAAACTATGGTCCAGGTAGTACGGTGCCTCAGCAGTTTCCGCCACAGTCGATCCCGGGTTCAACATCACAAACGAACGTCTCGAATGGTGCCCAACAACATCCAGGCGTCCAGTATGTTACTTCCAGTACTCATATGACGAACTGAAGATATATGTACCTACCGAAATGATAATATGTGATGTATTATAGTTTTATGAGATTATTGAGTGTCCCCCCGAACTTCTGTCGATTAACAATCATATTCTGGCTAACTTTGTTCGTATTTACATATATTAGAGTATGCCGAAGCGTTTTAACATCACTTTTTTGTTGTTGTATGATAGTTTTGATACTAAACGATAGAGGTGACTGGTACCAAAAAAAATTTTAATGCCGGATGCTTTAACAAACATCAAGACTTGTAATATCTTGGTAATAGTCGAAATTAGAAAATGTGCAATAAAAATTGTGTTGCGCAATTTTGTAAAATCATTCCAAACTTGTTAAAGTGTCTTTCATTGAATATCGACTTTGGTGATACTCGATAATAATCAATATTATTGTGTATAGATTTGTTTCCTTATTATAACGCCTAAAATGTATATCCTTTCTGTTCATTATTGTATAAAACTATTTTTCAAGTTATGAACAAGACATAATTAAAAATATGCGAGCTTTTTTTATTCTGAATCTTTCCCTTTTAACACCGAAACTCAGAAGATTGGTACAGCGCTGGACGCCACTGGTGATAGAATTTGATCTACCGAAAATATGTTTGCTACGTACAAGTTTTTGCAATTAACTCTCGTTAGAAAGGTCTGTTGTAATTTGTTCTTAGCCAAGAAAATTCGTATCTCAACCATTATCCTTAAAAAATTCTACATGTCGCCTACGAGGAGGTACGACTCCCTTCCTACTCTACCTGCCACTTTTGAAGATCTTTTGGTCAAAGATCTTCATGCATTTCGAGCGGTTTTTGTTGCCCCTGCTTATATTATGAAGTGGTTTAACTAAAAATGACAGAATTAGCAACGTAGAGATATAAGGCATAACAATATTAATTTTGCACAAATTTATAGATCAAAATATGTCGCTCTCCCAACATATTTTTTTTTTTTTTGGCCTTGGCATAGCCAATTGACCAGACTGTTTTGTAATTTGTATTCACAGAACAACAATCAGAGTTCGAGTTAGTACTAAATGTAAGTTAAAAATAAATTAAATAATTGAGTTGTTTTGATTTTTCTTTTTTTGTTTGTGATTTTTTTTTTTATTTATTTATTTTTTTTTTATTTTTTATATTTTTTTTTATTTGATTTTTTTAGTTCCTTGTATTACTTTTTTGATATTGTATATAATATGTATATATATTTTTTATTTTGTTTTGGTCTTTTTTTATATTAATTTGGTTTGGCCTATTTTTTTTATTTTTTTTTTGTCTCTTCTTTTCCATTTTTTTTTGTTTTTCATTTTTTCGTATTAAAAAGTTTATTACATGATTGATATGTTCGCAAATTGCTTACAAATTTTATCTTAACTCTAGGGTTAGTACATTATATTGTTTAAAGTTTATATTTACAATTTCTTATTAACTGATAAATACAATTAAAGATTTCTAAGTTTCCGGAGAAAATTAATTCATTTATGTGAAATGGGAAACACACATTTAGTTTTCGTAAGTTTTCATAAAAACATGTAATATTCCCTTGTTGGTTTCCACATTCTAATAGGATATGTGTTAAATCTCCATATTTACCACAAGTACAGTTTGGAGTGTCTGCTAGATCCATTTTGTACATTCTTGAAGGTGTTAGAGCATGATTTGACCTTAGCCTATTAATAGTTTTAATAAAACTTCTGTTGGACTCTGAATAAAACCACCTTTTTTTAAGAAGTGTGGGTTGCCAATATTTAAATGATGACTGTCTTTCGGATTCCGCATAATTGGCTTGCCATTTTAATTTAAGCCGTTGTTTACTATATACATCTATATCTAACACCGGTAGAATATTGTTGACTATGGTTTCTCCGCTTGATAATGCTTCTTTTGCCAATACATCTGCTATTATATTACCCTTTATCCCAGAATGGCCTTTGATCCATGCGATGATAACTTCTCCTCCGAGCTTTGAAACATCGTAGTACAATTTTAATATCTCTATATCAAGATGAGTCAATTGCTTGGATTTATTTGTTTCACATAATCTTTCTACTGCACTTTTACTGTCTGTAAATATTACACAGTTCTTCATTTCCTTTGTCAAAACGTGAGAAAGAGCAAACTTTAAACCCAGCATTTCGGATGTGTAGATGGAGGCTTCATCAGGTAATTTATATTTATGATGTTGTCCAGAATACTGTTGGTATACTGCGCAAGCAGTGTTATTTCCCTTTTTTGAACCATCGGTAAACATATAATAATAATTAGGCCATCTCTTCTGAATTTCTGCGTTAAACATGGGGCCTTGGACATCATTGAGAAATTCTGTCTTGATTTTTATTGAGAACAGTACATGAGGCTTTTCAGTATAAACTGGTGGAATGTGACCCTTATAAAGTACCTCTTTAAATTTAGAAAGATTTCTGTAGCTTTCCGCCACGAGTGGAGATTTTTTCTTAAACCAATATCTTTTAGTCAAATCTAAAACAGCCAGATTGTGTATATCTTTGAGAAATACTTGGTCTCTGCTAATGGTACGAGCTATATATTTGTCGGTAAGATACTGCCTCCGTAAATTCAATGGCGGTTCAACAGCTTCAATTTCCATTACATTAATTGGTGTAGATTTCAGATACCCAAGGCACAAGCGTAGGCACTTATTTTTTTGTATCTCAATTTTTGTTAAATGAGTGTTCGATGCATTTCCATACAAGTGACAGCTATAATCGAAAACTGGTCGTATCATAGATCGATAAAACATTAAACTAATGTTGGGATCTGCACCCCAGTTTGTTTTACAGAAAGCTCTTAGGATATTCATAGCTTTTTTGGTTTTTTTAATGATATGTTGAATATGATCTTTCCACAAAAGTTTTCTGTCTAAATAAGTTCCCAGGTATCTGACACAATTTTTAATTGGAAATTTGAATTGACCACAATTTATATACCCTTCTGGAGTTCTAGGTTTTCTAGAAAAGAAGCAGATTTCTGTTTTGGATTCTGATAATGTTAATCCATTTGATTCATAAAATGCATGTATTAATGAAATAGCTGTTGTTAAATTATTTTTAGAAACATCAATCGATTTGTCTGATGAGTAGAGTACCACATCATCTGCATATTGTAGTATTTTGGTGTTAATAGGAACAATGACTTCTAAATCTATATTATATAAAATATATAAAAGTGGACTTATAATACTTCCCTGCGGCAGTCGTATATTAGACAGTCGAGGGCTCTCCCAACATAGAAATACTTAAAAAGGATTAAAAAAAACTAAGTGAAGTTCGTCAAAAATTTGTACGTATATGGAATAGTTCTCGCCCTTTTTCCACATAGATAATTAATCAGCTATCCTAATTGAATCGCTTATTTATGAAAGGATATAAGTCACTACTTTATGTAAATTGAGATTAAGACGAAAGTTTGTTTTCAATGCTGATATCTAAAGTTTAGCCAAAAGAATATAAATCTTCAGTACTATTGATAGATAGACACTCAACAGAATATTTCATCTATTTATGAGACGATATAAGTCATTGACTTATATAAATTTGTCGCTAATCTTTTACTGGCGCTAGTAGCGTCATGAAAACAGCGATTTTGCTTGGTGATAAATTACAAGCAAGTTGTTTTGTTGTTATTTATAGACAAATACTTTGATATTTCGGCGATTGTTGTGTAAAATACTATTTGATTTGATATGAGTGATACTGAAAATATTACAAAAAAGACAAAGAACGAAGTTAAAAACCCAGATGACAAGTTTATTGAACTTATCATCTGGGTTTTAGTTTATTGAACTATTATTTTACTGAAGGTGTAAATCAAAATGTTTTGAGAAGATAAGCACAGCAGACAAAATAGAGATAATGAAAAAATTATATTCTTTTTCAACCAAAAACGAACAAGATCTGCAAAGTTTAATAGAGCCGAGAGTTATTAAAAAGAGATGGCCTCGTAAAGAAGCATCACAATGAACTTCATCCTTTGACTATTTTGTGTTGGTTAACACAGAGCGACGTAAAGTTTGTTAACATGCATTTTTAAGTTTACACGGCATAAGTTCTAAAGCAACACTTACAAGTCCTTTTGCATCTCGGAAAATCTCATATACATTTGAGGGGTCTGCAGAATAATAGAACAAGTGTTTCTGGCAATATTATACACATTGTACGTGAGCATATTTCTTCATTTCCTGTCAAACAAAGTCATTATTCGTCCAAAGAATATCAATACCTAAACGCAAAACTTAATGTAAAAATTGTGCATTCCTCATTCCGATGCAATACCGTAACTTACGATGCATAAAAGACGCTCTAAAAAACTTATCATGGCATTTAAAACACGGAAAAACTGAATAAAGAAAATTACGGCGTGATTGGATATTGCTTCGATTATATGCAAAACATTTTCATTACCGTCGATTGCAGTTCAAGATATTTTTATTTACGTCAGCTAGGAGTATTTCCATTTAGTATTCATAACTTAAAAGACAACAGTGCCCAGTTGTTCCTTTACTATGAACGCGTGGCTAAAAAAGGTCCAAATGAAACTTGTTCTTTTATTTTGAAACTATTTGAAATAAAAGATACCTACCAAAGTAAAAGAACTTCTCTACAATAACGGCTGTGGCGGCCAAAATAAAAACAATATTAGAATCCGATTTTGCCTTGCGCTTACTGACACAGGAATGTTTGAAAGAATTGTCCATAAATTTCCAATTCGTGGCCACTCTTTCCTGTAATGCGATCGGGACTTTGGCTTGGTAAAACGCAAACTTAATCGCATGGATAGGCTGTATACACCAATGGAAGTTTGTGAAGCAATCTGTAGTTCTACAAAGAGGCAGAAGAGTTATTCGCAGTTTCCAGTTTTATGGAGTTACGCTACAATAATACAAAAAAAGGACTTGTTGAAACATATGAAGTATATCGATGGAGCACTAACCATTTCCTAATCTAAGCACTAATCTTCTTGAAAATTATCAAGAATGTTGTGAGGAA